CAACTTTTCCTTCGAAATAGAAAATCATGCTACAATTAATTTTTAGGCACCACACAAAACATTGTAGATACGAAGAGAAACTTGGATTCGATTAATCTCTTGAGATAACATTGTTAGGAGGATTTTCATTTCGTATGAAAGTGAATGAAGAAGAGATTCGTTGGTCGATCTCACAAGATGAGGACGGATAAATCTTGGTAGGGTTTCTAGCTATCTGTGTGAGAGTAATCTAATCGTAATGAAAGCCGAAAAAGGTGGAGCAGTGGTAGTCATGGATAAGTCAAGTTATGTAGAAAAATGCTAGCTCATTAAAATGACAATGACACGTAATGGCCTTTACTGAGAGACTCAACAGAAAGACTTAAGACTAGGCTAAATGATGCCCTTAAAGTATGAGTAAGTAATGATGAAATGAAGAAGTGGAAAATAAATTCTTAACTCTAAAATGGTGCAAGGAACCCCACGGCTTACGGTCTCCCTAAGGTTCACAAAGAGGGTATCCCTCTAAGATTAATTGTAAATAATAAAGGAAGCGTGATGCATAAAATTTTACGGTTTTTATGCATACAACTAAGGAACTCTGCCAATTATTGGCTATATTCAGTTAAAATTCGTATGACTTAGTGAAATTTCTAGATCAACAGACAATTTCAGAAGAGGATAGGCTAGTTAGTGTTGACGTTGTGTCTATGTACACAAACATTCCTGTGCAAGGAGCTATTCAAGCTCTGATAAAAACTCTGGAGGATCATCTAGAGATAACACAAGGAATAAGGATTAGTGTAGCTTCCATTATTAGACTTATTAATCTATCCATGAATACCACATATTTTACATTTATAGCAAGGTATACGAACATACACAAGGGCCTGCGATGGGATCTTGCCTGGCTCCCATCTTGGCGAACAATTATATGGAATGACTGGAGGAACACTTCCTGCAAGAGGCAATACTAACTCCCAAATTGTTGGTTAGATACATGGATAAATATTTTGTCATCTGGCCTCATGGTGAGGACAGTTTAGATAGTTTCATACTTTCACACATCCACCGTGAAAGGAACATTCGGTTAATGAAGGAAATGGAAGAGAATAAAACCATACCTTTTCTGGATGCTCTCATCATTAAAGGGTAAGTTAGGAAGAGATGTTTATAGAGAGCCAACATATGTTAGCTCTTTGCTTAATTTTCTTTCCAACGATAGTTACAGGACTAAGGTTGCAATTTTGAAGTCAGTGATTATTAGAAGTATGAGGCTAGAGGGTAGCAAACATTTGGCAAAAGAGTTGCAACGGATTCCTGGAAGATAATTATCCTTTAGGCCTTATTGAGAATAATATCTCTCTACTGAATAATAAATTTTCAGACGGAGACTATTTAGTCAAAGACAGACAGACTGAGACCTTTTCCCATGTCCTAATTTTTCCGTAATGCCTTGTCTCAAAAATGATAGGCGAATTAGAAGGAAAGTTGGGGATAACAAGAATGTACAAAAAAACTCTTACACGTTCTTTGATATGCCATCTTTTAGGGAAAAATATGACCTATTATCGAGATCCGGCTTCTACAAGGTTGCTTGCTTATGTGGTCGATGTTATGCTGGTGAGTCATGCCTACTTATTAGACAAAGATTGGTAGAACACAAAAATGCTTGCAAAGAAAGCTGGATCCAACGATCAGACGTGGCCGAACAGATGGTAGAAATTGGACACGAAATAGAATAGTCTCAAACGAGTAGGTTTGCTGATTATGGTACATCTGTAGTTAAAAGAAAAATAAGAGAGGCTATTGAAATTAATAGCTTAGAAAATGGGTTGAATGTAAAGAACCGTGGTAGAAAGTTAAGTAGGAACTATTTATGCTTGATTGGTGGATTGAACGAGAGAGAGAGGGTGTTGAGCCGCCATCAAAACAAAGGCGACTTAATTTGTCTGCTCGGTGATGGCTCTAACTTTACTTAAATTCGTCCAACATGTTAGAGTAAGCTCATCCACAAAATCAGACATGTTAGATTACGCAACCCCAGTCTTGACTTTCCTTTGGAGTTAAACGTTAATGACCCTAGACTGAAAAGTTAGGACAAATGGTTTCGTAACTTGATTTTCCTGCTTACAAGCTCATATCTCATCATCTCAACCATACTTGTTTACGGACTTACGCAGTCTCTGTCAAGGCCTTCTCTTGGGTCATTGGGCCTTGAGGATCAGAACCTGAGATTAAATCTTTGACAACTCTGATTTAGGAACCGTATTTCATATAGATGTTAACACGCACACATAGGCATACGTATACAATTTAGCAAAACTAACAGAAACAGTATGAAAGATAATTAACCAAATAACTCTATATCGATCTATCAATTGAGTCTACCGTATTTTACGGGGTATAAGACGACCCTCTGACTTTTCCAGTTAAAATATAGATTTTGTTATATACTCGCCGTATAAGACTACCCCCTCTTCCGTACACCGAATAAAATTATAAGAACATCAGATTTGATTTCAACATGTTAATTCTAATTCAAAGCAGCAAAACTGTCACTTATAAACATAAGGCTGAATGTCATCAAACATGTACCGTAAACATAAGTGCAAGTGGATTAAATTCAAAAGCTGAATGAAAGGATAACACAATAAACGCATGGGAGCTGCCATACTGTTTGTTTTCTAAACTATAAACTAAACTAGAATTGACAATGATAGGGGGAAGTTAACAAACACTATAGAGAGAGACAAGTGCTGGGCAAGTCACTAGCGAGTAGTATGCATCATAACTGCAAGCTATGTTATTTTTTAATCGAAGGTATGAAGACCGAGATGGTATGGCTTTTTGTGTGGTCGTAGTCTCCTTTCGTTGTATAGAGGTTGTTTGACCTTGTTTTCG